CACACACACACACACACACACACACACACACACACACACACTAAAGTTCAGCAATTACAATGAAAACACACTTGAAATTAAAACCCCTGGAGAGTTTTCTTCAGCCACCCACTCACGGCTTCGGGTCTGGGTGCCGTCACTCAGACAGCGGTGGCGGCGCTCGGAGACGAACACAGACCACTGACCTCGGAATAAGCCAGCGTGATGTGCTCGTAAATGCCCTGGTGGTGGTGAATGGCGTCCTCCAGGTCCTGCAGCTCGGAGGGCAGGTCCACCTCGCCGCAGGCTTTGCACCAGGAATCCACGTTGCTCATATACTTGAAATTACAAAAAGAAAAAAGGATTTCATCAAGGGCAATGCGGTGGGGAGAGTTTTCTTTTAACAGCTCTGCAAAGCAAGGGCGCTGAGAAGGGTGCTAAGACGGTGCGGTGGATAGGTGCAGGCAGGTTGCTTCTACTGCAGAAGGAAGCCCTGCCTGGTCCTGCGCCATCCTCAGTGCAGGCCCTGTGTCCAGTCAGCTCGCCCAGGGTCCTCCTCTTTCTCACGGACTGTCCAAGCCTGTGACATGTGGCATGTGCCAAAGAGGGAAGGGGCTGACATCTTGCAGCTTGCTTACACGTGAAACCACATTCATTAGTTCCCTGAAAGAGATCCCCGACCAAATTAACACACCAGTGTGTGCCTGGGCAGAAGGGGTGAACTGTCCGGAAGTTAAAATGGAGAAACAGTTCACTCAGCGGCTCGTTTATTCCGCCCTCAAGTACCAGGAGAGAGCCACAGGAACAGCACCGCATGCTGACCACCTCCGGACACTACTGTGCAGTCAGCGCGGCCCCCACAGATCCGCTGCTAGCAGGCCTGCACACGACATCCTTTCTTCCAGGATCTAAAAGCACAGCCCGAGGGCAAGACTGGGGAAAAGATGTATCTCTAGTTCCTAAGTGTGAAAAGCTTTGCTGTCAGGTGCATTGAGTCCTTTCAACTCACAGGGACCCAAGCACAAGAGGACACGGCCCGGCCCGGTCCTGCTCCGCCCTCACCACCGTCCTCCTGTTTGAGCTCATGGCCGTGGCCACTGTGCCCGTCCATCTGGGGGGCGGGAGGGGTGGGGGGTGGGCTTCCTCTGCCGCTGTCCCTCCACTCCACCAAACACCATGTCCTTCTCCAGCGACTGGTCCCTCCTGACAACGTGTCCAGAGCAGGGAAGATGAAGTCTTGCCCTCCTTGCCGCGAAGGAGCACGTTGGCGTACTTCTTCCAAGGTAGATTTGTTTGTTCTCTTGGCAGGCAGGGTACTGGTAATAGTATTCGCCAACACCACAATCAAATGCATCGACTCTTCTCCAGTCTCCCTTACTCAATGCCCAACATGCATATGATTGAAAATGCCACAGCTCTGAAGCAGCTTGGGGGCTGGCCATCAGCATTCTTTTTTATTTATTTATTTGTTTGTTTGTTTATTTTTAACATTTTTTTAGGGGCTCATACAACTGTTATCCCAATCCATACTCACATCAATTGTGTAAAGCGCATTTGTACATCATTTCTCAAAACATTTTCT